TTGCAACGAAGCTAAATGCAGGTAAATTCAGGTATCGAGATCACAGATAACATCGATATGGAGGTCCTGGCTGGATATCATGGTCAACAAATTCAAGACCCTGGTTGGCGACAATCTACCGTCACTAGCGAAGTGCCAGAAAGCCATGCCCGCATGCTTCGCTTCCCACCCCAACACTAGGATTGTGATTGACTGTACCGAGGTATGATTTGAGTCCATTACCAGAACCGAATGAGCAGCTACAACTTTAGAGCTCAGAAAAAATTATGAAAGTCACAGCAGATAAGTTGACGCAATATTTCGCTTTGAACGTGACCAGTGAATTGGTGTTCTTACAGCAGTACAATTACGGCGGGGTGCGAATTGTGATGTTCAAAATTTCATTTTGTTATTGCAGCTGAATCAATTGAAAATTCCTACAATCCACAGGTCCCAATTGAAGCTCCGTCCAACATTGAGTCGGGCGCCAGATGTTACAGCCATTATAAGTGTAAGTTCAGTCGATCATACCTTTCAATAATGCTGAACCTGCAACGTAAATTACAGATCTTCTGCTTTCGTACCTCATACAATTTCCCCTGCATAATCGTTCTGTTCCATCTCCAGCTACGCACACAGCTAAGTTACTGATTGGAATTGCACCCAGTGGGGTAATCACATATGTCAGCCGCTGTTACCCTGGAGGCACAACCGACAAGGAAATTGTAGTGGATAGTGACATACTGCAGAAGCTGACTGTTGGTGACAACGTGATGGCTGACAAGGGGTTCCTCATTCATGACATTTTGCCCGAAGGTTAGTTCCAACCGTGCTACATTCGAAATATGAGATTTTTCTGAACGAGCCCCTATAACACTAACAGTTAAAACCAACTTAAATCGTAGTATTTATATTTTGTATGCTGATTGCGAATCACCCAAATGATGCTCCTCTTGGGAGATAACGTGCTATGACCTATGGTTTCTAATTTCTCGTTAAGGTCACAGCATACGCTTAAGTTAGAAATCGGGTTTGTGTTAGGGTTAGGATCATTCTGGGTGGTTAAGGTTTCAGAGCCAGCTAGAAAACGTGTTGAAACGTCACGTAACAGTCTAGTTGTGTGTAGAGTGATTAATCATCGTCCGGTTAGTTAAGAATAAGCGGAATAAAAAGCGAATTAAATTTCAGGAGTTACACTAAACATCCCAGCGGGGATGTGGGGCAAGACTCAGTTCACGCCGGAAGAAGTAGCAGCCAGCAGGAAAGTCAGCATCGCCCGCATCCACGTGGAACGCTCTATTGGCTATCTGAAGCGGTACAAGATTTTGGGCAACAAAGTTGTGGCGAAGATGTTGCCTTATCTGAGCGACATCGCATTCGTGTGCGCCCAACTGGTCAATTTGAACCCTGTTTTTTTAAGGGAGGTCGACAACGATTTTTTTAAAATGACCAGGTCTGCTTAAATAACTAAAAATTATGTTAATATTCTGTTCATGACTGGACGATAAGTTCCTACAATCCCCCCCCCCCCCCCCCCCCCAACAGTTTGTATTGTACGTGGGCAATGGGCACGGTTATAGAAGTACAACAATCACACTATTTCAAGTTCATGACGTAATCATGGCGTGTTTACCGCGGTGCAGATATTGCACGTGGACCTTGCCGAGCCGAGATGTGGTAGAGATAACAATGTGAACAGAGGGTCAAATAAAGATAAGGAAAGTAAACACACGATATCGATCTGCTGACTCGTCCTGTTTGTGATTGGACGGATCGGTGTCACATGACATAACACCTCTATTACAAGTGGTCGCTCGTTGAGGATGACGGAGCACATCAGGGCTGCCCGTCGTCAGAATAAATTTAATTCAGTTGTTAGTATAATTGTTATATTGTGGTGTTGGTAACCTACCTTCGTTGTGTTTCTTTTGACTTTGTTATGCTCTGGAAATTGTGAAAATTACGCTCTGGAAATTGTGATAGTACCTGCTCTGGAAATTGTGATAGTACCTGTTCGATTTGTTAAGGAGACGATCTCCCTGTTCATATGTTTGTTATATATGGTAATTTATTATGTAACTTATTTATGTATATTATTCCTTAGTCTCGTATGACCATAGTTGGTACTACAATAAGTGGGTTTCACTTCTAAGCTACCGTATACTAAATTGTTACAGGATCAGAATGTTCGTGAGGAACAGTCACCAAAAGTGAGTTGCTTACCTGCTGTGTGTTTTCGTACTCTGGTCTTCACTCAAGTTGCAAAGCTGCAATAAACGTATCGCAAAGAACATTTATATCTGAAAATTGTGTTAGTACCAGTTTGATCAGTTAAGGTGAGGATTGCCTCGATCTGTCGGGTTCAGCTTAACTGCCTAGGTCATGAGTAGAACCGAAGGATCAAAACATATGTTGCTTGTTGCTCGTATCAACTATCAAACATCAATTTTGAGGGATAAGGAAGTGTTTATAGGTTCTGAAACCTAGCTAAATCGATTTTTCGTGCAATTTTAGGTCAGAAACAGTCATTAAAATGAGTTAATAAGAAGGTCGATTTCTCGGTTATTTTTGAGCTTTCGTTCAGAAAATAATTCGGGGCCTTCAAAGGGGGGTAACAAGAAAGCGTTACAAGTGTTACAAGCCTTCTATAATACAAAATGTGTATCATCTCTTCAACCCGCTGAACATGTGCTTACCCTAAAAATGTAAACAAATGTGTTTCACCTCCTCAACCCGCTGAACATGTGCTTACTATTAAAGTAAACAAATGTGTTTCACCTCCCCACCAGTATCCACATCTATTATAAGTACAATTAGTATAATAAATATAATATACATTTTATATACCAGATACCGCATTATAATGCGTAGTTAGTAGTAATTGTGCTAACAAATTTCTTCTCAGATGCTGAAATCCAGTGTATACAGGGAGCTAACAGCACTGCTCCTTTAATTAATTGTCCTGTTGGTACTGTCTCCTGTTATGGGTAAGTTATCAATTAATTCAATTAGTTCAATTAGTTCAATTAGTTCAATTAGTTCAATTAGTTCAATTAGTTCAATTAGTTCAATTAGTTCAATTAGTTCAATTAGTTCAATTAGTTCAATTAGTTCAATTAGTTCAATTATTTCAATTAGTTCAATTAGTTCAATTAGTGCAATTAGTTCAATTAGTTCAATTAGTTCAATTAGTTCAATTAGTTCAATTAGTTCAATTAGTTCAATTAGTTCAATTATTTCAATTAGTTACTTGAAAGCTTCCAATCGTATTTTCTTTTCGCGGTTATCCCTGATAATAAGGCAGCGAACTAAAAAGAGCATGCATGGTAGGGTCTTAGAACTCGGCCAAATTACTTTCTTCGCGATTTTATCTTGATCCACAGCTGCTCACCACAAATTGTGAAGGGCCTGAACGGAACCCCTCGGTTTCAGTTCCTTGTTTAAAACTGTCGTACAGCAAGGACATTCACCGCGTTCGCCAATATATAGTGACATAGTAGTGTTGAAAGTATTATGATCCAACTATCAGTATTTCATCATGAGACTAATAAACTAAAACAGCGAAGTAGTCCAACATTTGATATTTATATGCGCAATAGTGACTTTAATATGCGGGTCCAGGGTATTGTTTTGAACGGTCTTAGAAGGGAAATAGTTTTATATACCATGGCTTATAATTATAATAGTACTACAACATTATTTGGCTGCCGTGCTTTTATACGTTTTTTTGTTCCAATCTGGAACGATTAACAACTAAGTTATCACTTAACTTAACTAAGTTATTATTTAGCTTAACTAAGTTATTACTTAACTTAACTAAGTTATTATTTAGCTTAACTAATTTATTACTTAACTTAACTAAGTTATTACTTAACTTGACTTTATTATTATAACAAATCTCATGATAAGCTGAAATAAATAATTAACAATTGCGTCGGTTTTTAAAGTAAGCATGAAACTAAACCCACTGTCAGGCCCAAGCTAACAGAGCATGTAGGGTTTGCCAGCGGAGTGGATTACGGATGTGGGCCGTGTGACCCGGAACTCTCGTTTGAGTGTGCGGAATGCAGCGAGTCCGGATGTAACCAGCCACCAGGTTAACTTTTCTACTGTATTTTTCATACGCCATTACCACATGTTGTTCGATTTACTTGTTAATGAGTGTTTTCTGATGTTCCAGTCGAGCGACCACGTGCTATTACTTATTATAAATACCTTACTTCACCTGTAGACCACGTGCTATTACTTATTATAAATACCTTACTTCACCTGTAGACCACGTGCTATTACTTATTATAAATACCTTACTTCACCTGTAGACCACGTGCTATTACTTATTATAAATACCTTACTTCACCTGTAGACCACGTGCTATTACTTATTATAAATACCTTACTTCACCTGTAGACCACGTGCTATTACTTATTATAAATACCTTACTTCACCTGTAGACCACGTGCTATTACTTATTATAAATACCTTACTTCACCTGTAGACCACGTGCTATTACTTATTATAAATACCTTACTTCACCTGTAGACCACGTGCTATTACTTATTATAAATACCTTACTTCGCCTGTAGACCACGTGCTATTACTTATTATAAATACCTTACTTCACCTGTAGACCACGTGCTATTACTTATTATAAATACCTTACTTCACCTGTAGACCACGTGCTATTACTTATTATAAATACCTTACTTCACCTGTAGACCACGTGCTATTACTTATTATAAATACCTTACTTCACCTGTAGACCACGTGCTATTACTTATTATAAATACCTTACTTCACCTGTAGACCACGTGCTATTACTTATTATAAATACCTTACTTCACCTGTAGACCACGTGCTATTACTTATTATAAATACCTTACTTCACCTGTAGACCACGTGCTATTACTTATTATAAATACCTTACTTCACCTGTAGACCACGTGCTATTACTTATTATAAATACCTTACTTCACCTGTAGACCACGTGCTATTACTTATTATAAATAACTTACCTGCAGAGTTGGAGGAGAGTTACTCGTGCTACAACTACAAAGTAGCAGGAGGTGCTATCATCAGACACCCAACTCTCACCACCTGTTGGAGATCTAAAGGCACAGTTATCACCTGCAACATGTAAGTTTAGGTTATCTGAAACACTAATTGGTCACTAATTGGTCACTAATTGGTCACTTATTGGTAACTAATTGGTCACTTATTGGTCTGACTATGATACTCTAAAAGTGATACGCTATTTTTTCATTTGCACTGATCACCATAAGTGGGCCGTGATCAGAACAGTTTTTATTTTCTGCTTGCTAAATTTGTCCAAACGTGACCTAGCAATCGTGACTTGATGTCAAATTTTAAACAAAACGTCATTTATAGTTTATACGTGATGTTTTAAAAACTTATCATCGTGCAATTTTACTTTAAACATTTTTATGAATGCAGGGAAATAATTATTACTTTAATATTATAAAGAAAGCCTATTCCGAAAATATTCTAAGAAGTGAGAACCATTGCTTTGTAGGCGCTGTAAAGTCTATACTAATCTGAATATAGATTTAGATTTTTTCATAATGTTACGTTAATCTTTAGAATTATAATGTATAATGTTTATAATGCTTAATGTTAAACTTTCTTTGATAAAGAATTAAGGAAGCTGAGTAGAAGCATATGAGAAATGGTAGATTTGAGTTGATTGGTCACTAATTGTCCACTTATTAGTCACTAATTGGTCACTAATTGGTCACTAATTGGTCACTAATTGGTCACTAATTGGTCACTAATTGGTCACTAATTGGTCACTAATTGGTCACTAATTGGTCACTAATTGGTCACTAATTGGTCACTAATTGGTCACTAATTGGTCACTATAACACTGTTCTGTTCAGGCCGGCCAGTACAGCACATTACAAAAGTGTAAGTGGTTGTGGACCATGTGGGGAGACAGCAAAAGAACGGGGGACATGTGTAGAATGTTATTCAGACTCTTGCAATCAGATCGGTGAGAAATCAATCAATTTGCATAACTTAATTAAGATTGAATTTAACAAGAATTTCGCCGCGGTTACACCATTTGGTCATTTCGTGTTTAATTCCTGTTTAATTCCACCACGCACGATCAAATTTCCCTACAATGTAATCGTTTTACTTAAATTGTAATCAACCGTTAGCATTTGAACCCCCCCCCCCCCTCGGCTGATTACGTAATTTGTGAACGACCCCATATTTGATATTAGGCGTGCAAAACTTGAAAACACTGCACGCATCTGACGTGTCGCCGTCACGTCGATCTGTGGTTTGGTTGTAGACCATGCAATTCATATTTTGCGCGGTTTTGTTTCGTGTGAACAATTGGAATACGCTATATTAATATAGTGCTCCAACCATGCTTTACTCTCAGTTTAAAATCCTGTCGAAATTGACCGCAATTGACTGTGACTACGGTGAATGAGCCGTAATGTAGCATGCCGCTGGGTCAGTCAGTTCATTACAAATTAAATGTGTTTTCAACTTGATTTATATTTTCAGTAAGAGAGAGTGATCGTGCCCATCTCCACCACCGAACAAGAAGATCAGTCTCCGCTGAATGTGTCTCCCAGTGTCCTTACAGCTAATTGGTCACTAATTGGTCACTAAGTTTCCCTACAGTTAAAGTTACTTTCCTCTACTACATATCTAAACTATTAGTTGTGCGACTTTTCCATGTTATCTGCTATGCAGCTTATACTGAGCAACCAAATTCAGAAAATGTCTTAATAATGAAAAACCAATACAAAGAAACCTTATGCATTCGCACATCGTGATAATGATTAATATTATATTTATATCTCAAGTAAACTGGTTACTGGAAGATCTCAATCTGTTCCTCTTTTTGTGCTCATTTCTTCTTACGTGCTCATGCTCGAGGCCGGTTGCTGATCACTCGACACTCAAGCAACATATATTTTGTTATATTAATGCTATTCATGCAAACAAGTAAAACGAATCTGTTATGTCATGTATCCTACATGATTTTACATTTTAATTTTTTCTACAGAACAAACAGCATTCATAAATATTTTAAACTAATATAATTATTCTAAACCATAATTTATTGTTCACAACTTATTTGTTTAAAGAAAATGAGATAATGAGAAATATCAAAAGCGAATTTGAATTAAAACATACTGTTTCATTTTTTAAAACCTGTGAGAATGCGAGGTGGTTAAATTAAATGAAGTTAAACTAATTACCTATTCATAAATTATTTGGGTTTTGGTTAAACATGCATAGAACAGTTAAATTTTGGATATAGTATTATTCATAATAATCGAGGATTTAAATTTTAAATTTTCAGCCAAAATTGAAAATTAAATGTAGGAATTAACTAAATTTACTATTTAAGGTGGCCCACAAATTTCCTTTATGATAATTGCTTTTACTTATACTCCAACCCCAAATCACTTCCTCAAGGGATAAACGAAAAAAAAGGTCCGAAAAACTTTGAACCGACAATTATATTATAGGCATGTTCAGTATTTTTGACTGGATCAACTAATAAAGAATTTTGATTACTATACGTTGTTTGTCTAGCTTATGAATTGCAATTGTTTGTGTAGTTACGTCACCACGACGAAAATGAGTTTGTGACAAATTTCCAGCTTTATCAATTAAGCTGAAAATGTCCATATAATAAAAGTAATAAGAGTAAAACGTTGGCTATAACAATGGGTTTTGTAGCCTTTGGTTTTTACTAACCCACTCACCAGCGCACTATCCTGTAATTGTGGGGTTTGAAGCCGAAAGAAGCAGCAGTCAGTCTTGAAACCCAGAACTCTTGTTTCTTACTCAACCCTGACCCAAACCAAAATCTCGAAGCCAACCATAACCCTAATAGTAGGTTTATATCATGTAATAAGCGGTTTATATTATGGTTTATATTATGGTTTATATTATGTAACAAAGAGTTGGCTCATCCGATTCTTTCCTCCAATGTTGATAAACTGGTTGCCGAACAGCCAGCCAACATGATTCATGTCACATCATATCCACATATATAAAAATATATAAGCTGAAGTTATGAAACAACGTAAAAAGTCTTCACTTCTCATATCTACGTTTGGGCTGTATGCAGCTAGCTGCTGTCTGTATCACATTTTAACCGGCGTAGTTGTCATGGTAACCACATCTCGTGTTCATGTTAGAGAGAAGCTTTTATATCGAGCTCAGGCCAGATTCAAACGTATTTCATTTTGTTTGATAAACATGTTTTCTTTTAAATTTCGCGTTTGTTTCGTTTTTAAACCTCACTATTATAATATAAGTTTGCTATGTTAACGTAATAAGAGCATTTAATTTCACAAAGATGAGCAGCAAATCTCTGGTCTGTCCCAACAGTGATGATGATCAGGCTGACTGTAAGGTAGGACAACATTTCAACAATGTTCCTTATTTCAAACCATAGCACAGTAACAACAAAATGTGTCCAAATCTTCAAAAACAGAAACGATCTATAAAACTGGTTAATTTTTAGGTTGTTTTGGTTGTGATGTTTGCTATGTCTATATTAATTGTATCATTATTAATTACATTGCTAATTATGTCTATATTGTTGAGTATTTATATTACAAGCTGGATTCGTCTGCAATCGTCTATAAACCATGAAAAATAAATCTTGAATTGAAAATAATTTAACAATCAGGTTGTAACAGAACAGGTACCTTTGACGCAGGTTATCCTGCCTAAAGCAAAGTCTGAGGTTAATACTTATGTCAACTATTTATTATTGAAGATACTTATTTTACTTCGGCTTACATTGTAACCAGGAGGCGAAGATGGATACACCCTGGTTACACCCTGTTTACACCCTGTTTACACCCTGGTTACACCCTGGTTACACCCTGGTTACACCCTGGTTACACCCTGGTTACACCTGGTTACACCCTGGTTACACCTGGTTACACCCTGGTTACAACTGGTTACACCTGGTTACACCTGGTTACACCCTGGTTACAAACTGGTTACACCCTGGTTACACCTTGGTTACAACTGGTTACACCTGGTTACACCCTGGTTACACCCTGGTTACACCCTGGTTACACCCTGGTTACACCCTGGTTACACCCTGGTTACACCCTGGTTACACCCTGTTTACACCCTGGTTACACCCTGGTTACACCCTGTTTACACCCTGGTTACACCCTGTTTACACCCTTTTTACACCCTGTTTACACCCTGGTTACACCCTGGTTACACCCTGTTTACACCCTGTTTACACCCTGGTTACACCCTGGTTACACCCTGGTTACAACCTGGTTACACCCTGGTTACACCCTGGTTACACCTGGTTACACCTGGTTACACCCTGGTTACACCTGGTTACACCCTGGTTACAACTGGTTACACCTGGTTACACCTGGTTACACCCTGGTTACAAACTGGTTACACCCTGGTTACACCTTGGTTACAACTGGTTACACCTGGTTACACCCTGGTTACAAACTGGTTACACCCTGGTTACACCTTGGTTACAACTGGTTACACCTGGTTACACCCTGGTTACAAACTGGTTACACCCTGGTTACACCCTGGTTACACCCTGGTTACACCCTGGTTACACCCTGGTTACACCCTGGTTACACCCTGGTTACACCCTGGTTACACCCTGGTTACACCCTGGTTACACCCTGGTTACACCCTGGTTACACCCTGGTTACACCCTGGTTACACCCTGGTTACACCCTGGTTACACCCTGGTTACACCCTGGTTATACCCTGGTTACACCCTGGTTACACCCTGGTTAAACCCTAGAGAACGGGTACGGTTTAGGAAGCATATTATTACAGGGTGGGCCAAAAGTATGTAACGTTACTTTTGGCCCACCCTGTATATATTTACATTACTTTGTCCAAGAGTCCAAGGCTATGCTGCACCAATAAATTTGTAGTGTTGTTTTTCGTTTAAATGATTTTTAGTTAATCCGTTTGTTGCTACAAGGAAACATGCTATTTATATATTATCAGGAAGAGGAAATAGATAAGTTATAAAAACACACTTTTACAATTTACAGGGTAATATAGGCTTGGCAGGTCCGATTAAACGCTTAGCTAACGAACAAAATGGAAACAAGACATCTTTCCGGCACTCTGGCTATCAATTCTTTGATAATTTCAGTGAGTTTACCTTTATTTTGTTGTAAGATGTAATGCATAACTTTATCAACCAATAAAAATACCCTGCACTATTATAACAGCCAACAATAACGATATCATCAAGATAAACCCATTTTAATTGAAAAGCAATCTATTACCTAAATAAAATACTCTAAGACATGACCTTTTACTGTAGGTGACTCCGAGAACGAATCTACTGTTCTGTCAGACATCCAGGAACCAGTTATAACAGAAGATCAAGAAGTGGAGCCTGAAAATACTGTGAGTTTATGAAATAGAACTATAACAAATGTTCATTTTAAAGATCTAATCATCTATGAAGTTTTATGATTATTTGCAATTCCTGTGGCAGGGATGATATTGACTTACGTTAAAATATATTTTGCCAGTAAATGTGCGCTTTCGAGGGTTAATGAATGAATGAAATTGAACGCTTTAAACAACATTTTCTTCTACTTGGAGCAGTAAGTCCAACTCTTCATACATTTCAGCAAGCCATCAGTGTGTTCTACTCTATTTTAATCCTAGTGGTAAATGTAGGGTTCATCTTAGCCGCTACTTTTGTCTTCATGATCGTCGAAAACAGGGTAAGATCTTAAACTTGAAGAATCAACAAAATGAAAATATATAATAGCTTTATCTCTTCACCTTGATTACTTAAACAATTCCGTTAAAGTTACGGATCTACGATGCCTTCATGTTGGAACCCCCCCCCCCCCCCCCCCCTCGGCTGATTACGTAATATGTGAACGACCCCATATATAATAAGCGTACTCATCCACTAACCACTTGCTAATAGGGGGAGACGAAAAGGAACGCTGAAGCGTACGAAACACTTCAACATTTTGAAGGACATATAGACAATGCAACCAACATCCTTGCAGGTTTGTATTTATACATGCGTGTGTATGTGTAAGTATGTATCAGTATGTGTATGGGCATTGGGTGTAGGTATGTGCTTGAATCGATTTGCTTGAATCTCAAAAATGGTGAGCTAAATGCCAGTTTAACAGGTTCTAATCCGAGGTATTAGAGCTATAATTTCAGCTAGTGAGTTATGTCCAATAAGGTTAAGGGGGCATACACCAAAACAGTGGTTTGTGCCGTCCAGACCAAATGACCTCATATGCAGTTCATTGACCTTCTAGCGCACCGTTTCCACACCAAAAAAATTATTTTGAGAATACCCATTTTTGTAATCGAGCAATTCCTGGTTAAGAGTGCAATTTTCGGAAAAAATTATTTTGTGGTTGAGACGCTATAAGTTAATCATTTCTTGATCATTTCCTTTGCTCGCCGTTTATTTACATCTATTTCAAGGTGTGTGTAAAATATTGATATCGTTTCTAATAACGCTGGTGTGTTATGAATTTTTAAAGTCAAAAAGCTAAAATTGTCCTTTTCAGGCTTATTTTAACAAAAAGTCAGTCAGGGAAGATTGGATTGATTTGATGCTTGACATCAAATTGTTCTCTGAATTCTGGCGCAGTTTTTGATGCCCTCAAAAATGTTTTTACTCATTCATCTTCAGATCTATTGGACCTCAAAGCCAAACAACAAATTTAGGCACATTTTTCGTTTTTAATATTTACTGATTTTTCTAAAATTTTGATAGGAATGTGCTAGTGACTTTTTGAAGGGTGCAAAATAACCGCAATGCAACTAGCATATTTATATATGAGTTATGAACAACAAAAAACCCTAAAATGCTATCCTTTGAAGTTATGGGAGAAAATGTGATTTTTTATCTGCAAAGCCAAAAAATCACAGATGTAAATAAACGGCGAGCAAAATTTCAACCCGATACCTCAAGAAATGATTAACTTATAGCGTCTCAACCACAAAATAATTTTTTCCGAAAATTGCATTCTTAACCAGGAAATGCTCGATTACAAAAATAGGTATTCTCAAAATAATTTTTTTGGTGTGGAAACGGTGCGCTAGAAGGTCACTGAACTGCCTATGAGGTCATTTGGTCTGGACAGATTTGGTGTATGCCCCCTTAAGACTGGATCTGGAGGAGTCATTTAAGTTTTTAGAGCCTACGAAATATTTTTCACCGGTATTTTGTCGAGCTGAACATCATGCACCCTTTCAGTTTGAGAAATTACCACGTTACAGTATGTAAAACTATTTATAAAACATATTTATAGTATAATAGTATTTACTTATTGACCTGCAGAGTTGCTGACACTGCAGCAGCAGATGTGCAGAAAGAATAACGACAGAGTGGGTAATGATTGGGTGTTCTGGGGCTCATTCCAGTTCTGTAACACCGTCATAACAACTCTTGGTGGGCAACTGTAGTTATTGTTTCAGTTTTAAGCTTCTTACTTCAATATCTGTCATTTTCAGGCAAAGTTTAGATTTCGGAGTTATAAATTCGAAAATTTTAACTTTTTTATCTTCCTTATGATATAATAATATGTATATTGTCCTCAAATATATCGTCCTTCTTATATTATGATAGTACTCACACCATTTTGGTTAACAACGCTTATATCCTAATTCATATATATGTATACAATGTATACAATGTATACAATGTATACAATGTATACAATGTATACAATGTATCAGTATACAATATATGCGAGTAAAAAGCGCCCCCTCCTTTAGGATACGGTCTAGTGTACCCTCACACAGCAATAGCAAAGTACATCACCATGGTGTACGGTCTATTTGGCATACCTATATATCTCTGCTACATCGCCTACTTTACGGATTATGTGCTGCTAGGGTTGGATGCTATCAGGTGCTGCATACAGCGCTGGACACAGTAAGTGTGTTTATTATGTGCTGCTAGGGTTGGATGCTATCAGGTGCTGCATACAGCGCTGGACACAGTAAGTGTGTTTATTATGTGCTGCTAGGGTTGGATGCTATCAGGTGCTGCATACAGCGCTGGACACAGTAAGTGTGTTTATTATGTGCTGCTAGGGTTGGATGCTATCAGGTGCTGCATACAGCGCTGGACACAGTAAGTGTGTTTATTATGTGCTGCTAGGGTTGGATGCTATCAGGTGCTGCATACAGCGCTGGACACAGTAAGTGTGTTTATTATGTGCTGCTAGGGTTGGATGCTATCAGGTGCTGCATACAGCGCTGGACACAGTAAGTGTGTTTATTATGTGCTGCTAGGGTTGGATGCTATCAGGTGCTGCATACAGCGCTGGACACAGTAAGTGTGTTTATTATGTGCTGCTAGGGTTGGATGCTATCAGGTGCTGCATACAGCGCCGGACACAGTAAGTGTGTTTATTATGTGCTGCTAGGGTTGGATGCTATCAGGTGCTGCATACAGCGCTGGACACAGTAAGTGTGTTTATTATGTGCTGCTAGGGTTGGATGCTATCAGGTGCTGCATACAGCGCTGGACACAGTAAGTGTGTTTATTATGTGCTGCTTGGGTTGGATGCTATCAGGTGCTGCATACAGCGCTGGACACAGTAAGTGTGTTTATTATGTGCTGCTAGGGTTGGATGCTATCAGGTGCTGCATACAGCGCTGGACACAGTAAGTGTGTTTATTATGTGCTGCTAGGGTTGGACGCTACCAGGTGCTGCATACAGCGCTGGACACAGTAAGTGTGTTTATTATGTGCTGCTAGGGTTGGATGCTATCAGGTGCTGCATACAGCGCTGGACACAGTAAGTGTGTTTATTATGTGCTGCTAGGGTTGGATGCTATCAGGTGCTGCATACAGCGCTGGACACAGTAAGTGTGTTTATTATGTGCTGCTAGGGTTGGATGCTATCAGGTGCTGCATACAGCGCTGGACACAGTAAGTGTGTTTATTATGTGCTGCTAGGGTTGGATGCTATCAGGAGCTGCATACAGCGCTGGACACAGTAAGTGTGTTTATTATGTGCTGCTAGGGTTGGACGCTACCAGGTGCTGCATACAGCGCTGGACACAGTAAGTGTGTTTATTATGTGCTGCTAGGGTTGGATGCTATCAGGTGCTGCATACAGCGCTGGACACAGTAAGTGTGTTTATTATGTGCTGCTAGGGTTGGATGTTATCAGGTGCTGCATACAGCGCTGGACACAGTAAGTGTGTTTATTATTTGCTGCTAGGGTTGGATGCTATCAGGTGCTGCATACAGCGCTGGACACAGTAAGTGTGTTTATTATGTGCTGCTAGGGTTGGATGCTATCAGGTGCTGCATACAGCGCTGGACACAGTAAGTGTGTTTATTATGTGCTGCTAGGGTTGGATGCTATCAGGTGCTGCATACAGCGCTGGACACAGTAAGTGTGTTTTAAGGGACGATTTCACGCCTCTTAAACGCCCCTTAAAAACGTTTAATACTTTTAAGTTAAAACAAAGACATTCTAAAATATATCTCTACTTATTGTTTTACATTCTACAAGTACAACATGTACCCTATTTTACATTCTAAAACATGTGCCCTATTTTTATGTTCACGTGATTAGTATTAGTAAGCTTCTATTTTGTAAATTAGATATAATTAGTTAGGTAGACAAATATATGTACATTTATATAGAAGAGCAGTTCCAACATCAGTTATTTCATATTTTCAATTTGTATTCTTGGTATGAGCGCGGTATAAATACACTGCTTCTTTTTTATTTTAACTATTCTAAGTCACCAAGTAGCATTAAATACGTTTTCTTGCAGCTGGAATTGGATGGTAAAATCTCAAATCCGAATAGCTCTCATGCGATCTCTGTTCGCCACAATTTGTCTTTTTATTTACATCGGTGAGAAAACTTACTTAAAATGATTCCTAATACCCGATTTTATTGATGGAAGTTATGATTTGATACAATAACAATAATTCAATTACATTGATTACAATGATTACAATGATGACAACGACTACAATGATTACAATGACTACAATGACCACAGTGTATTGTTTACAGCGGTACACTTGTGGGTAGTATACCCTGCCGAGAGGGACTGGGAGGAGCCCCACATGAAGAGATCACTAATGCAAATGTTCTATTGGCAGGTAAGCAAGTAAATAAAGTCAAATTTTATTAATATTATGTACAGTATATATTATTACGTATATACAGAGACTGTTGGACGTTGGTAGTATAACACCCTACCAACGAGATACAGATATTATATATATATTATTACTATTACTATAAAATATATTACTATTTTACCATTTTGTTATTCCTGGCCTCATACCGTATAAGCTTTTTGGATCATGGTGTTAATCGTAGTGACAACCGACGTTATTAATTTCTGACAGAATTTCACTCAATTTCCTCAGACGATAAGGTTTACGACTATTGGTTTCGGTGATATTGTGGTGCTGTTGGGACATGAGATCCCCAAGCTGATGTCCTCTACTTTACTGGGGCTTCCACTTGGGATTTGCTGCATGAACGTTTACTTTTCAGCCATCAGGTTGTTTTTTAATAAAACAATTATTTTTTAATTGAATCGATCGAATTTTTTAATTGAATCGGTCCTTCCGAGTACGTAGATGTTTTTGAGAACATGTATCAATTAACAACTTTAGTTAAAAGAGATGCCTGACTCATCACATAGTATGTTTAAATATTATACAAATTTATCGAGTAATTGTAATCTAATAATTAGTTACATAGTATGTAGTTTATAATAAGCTGGATTTTATCCCAGGAGCATGTCTGGCACAAAGATGTTCCAAAACTCTACAGTTTACGAAAAGTTGAGGTCTTGTTGCGGCAGAAAACAACAGTGAACAGCATACACGTGTTGACTTTATTAACTAAAACGTAGTGATCATAGTTGAAAGTGAGCTACAAATAACTAAAAATAACGGAAAATAGTCGGAGATAGAATCAACTGACTGACTGGTCACCTTATTTGATTGATTAACACTTATTGCAATTAAATGGTTTAAATATTGTCTACGATTGACTCATGATTGACTATTTGGTCACTGATTAAAGTGATAATTCATATTTTTGTATACAATAAAGATTAATACAACGGTATAAACTACAAAAAATCTTAAACTTTTAAAATCTTAATGACATCAACAACAACAAGACAACAAATCATAAATATTCACTCGTATCTTCGGCTGATTCATAACCTTAAAACATTTTTGTATCTGAATAAATTGCTGTGGTGTTAAAAATATCAAAACATTACTGATTTTGTTAACTTTTGTTCATTAATCAAGAATCAGAAGGGCCATCTAAAGAAACGTTCCAGTCTTGAAATATGGTTTTGAGGTTCTCACTAAAATTGAAAACAACATTAAACTTATCACTGCCTAATTTGTAAGTAGCCTTTGTATGTTCATTCCCAGATCCAGTATCGTCATCAGACCCAGCATCCTTAATCCAGTAAAAAATCGTTAATTTAGAAACTTTAAACTTCTCCATATCGATTGTAGCTACCCCTGCAGTGTACTTGAAACTGACAATCTCATCTGCTATATTTAGCTTGATGATGGTCTCATGTCCCTCGTAGGTAAATGTAGATGTGATATCGCTACCGTAGTAACCCTTTTTTAGTTGGTATATCTTCACCTCAATGTTGTTATCTGGGGAACTAAAGTTATAAACAGGTTGTTCTGTCAGACACCAGTTGAGACAGAACAAAAGTTAACAGGTTGTTCAGTCAGACACCAGTTGAGACAGAACAAAAGTTAACAGGTTGTTCTGTCAGACACTAGTTGAGACAGAACAAAAGTTAACAGGTTGTTTAGTCAAACACTAGTTGAGACAGAACAAAAGTTAACAGGTTGTTCAGTGAGACACCAGTTGAGACAGAACAAAAGTTAACAGCTTGTTCAGTCAGACACCAGTTGAGACAGAACAAAAGTTAACAGCTTGTTCAGTCAGACACTGCAGTTGAGACAAAAAAGCTCATAAAATCTCTACTTAACTTACCCTTATCTTTTAAGAAGAAGATGTTGTCCAGCTTGTAAAAGATAACTTTTGTAATGTCTTCTTCGAACGTCAATGTTGTGGGTGAATCACCACCTGAAAAACAAGTTTCAAACTTCAAATTGTTCCTCCTCAAACTCAAAGTAAACTCTAAAAAATTCTAACTCAGAGCTCCAGGTCAAATATTCAACATTTAAGTCAGACAATGTTTGACTCCTTTATCTCTCCCAACAATTAGTAAGGGGAAAAGTGGTCGATTTAAGGGTTCCGTTGGATTTAAATGTTCACAAGGATTTAGCAACGGAATATGGTAGTTAAAACCCCTACGAACATAATTAGACTTGTCACCAATTTTGTATCTCGACAGAAACACCACTTTTTACCACTTTTTACCACCTTTGTACCACCTTTCTAGTTTGCCAAATATCTTTAGTTGTGAACGTCGTAGAAGGCTGGAAATTAACCTAGAATGTTTATCTTATCAAGGAGTAAAACTTTTGTACGAAAAATTTGTACATTGGACAATCAGCTAATTGGATAATTACTAATTAGTTAATTACCAAAAAAAGTGAAAATTTTTTATTGGCTCAAAATGATTAAAATCGTTTAAAACACGGAGAAATGTAGTTTTTAGAAAAACTTCAAAACTTTTTCACTTACAAATTTTTTTCGAGACTTGGAAAAATTTCGAAAATTTGAAAAAAAAAATTTCCGCCAAAAGTGATCGAATTGCATGAAACGTGGATAAAAATGCTTTGCAGAAAAACTTCGAACATTTTTAGATTGGGGAATACTAAAAACAAAAGGACCGTTTAAGATCGAACCGATTTTACCTGCTGTATACTATCATTTTATTGATTTCAATGATCAAAACCTCTCTGTACCGTCAATCTTGCCAATCTACACCGGGTATCTGAATGTACCGGACCTCTTCTTTGCCTCTATTATAATTAGACCCAGTTGTGCAAGAAATGCGATTTCTCACAGGGGCTTCTTTTAACTGTGCACCTTTTGTCACTCTCGCAAGAGGCCTGGTATAATTATAGGGGGGTATAGGAAGTGTAAATATACCTTCCATCATCCACTGTGGCTTTTTTGTGTTGTGAATGCACATGCCGCTTCGTTTGCTATGCAAGATACCTCGAATAACCCCCATATGTCATTGCCAGGGTCGGGATAGAGCTGGAGATAGCATTGAGAGGTTGCTAGAAATAACTAGACTTAGAATAAAGTCTAGCTATCAGATTATGATGAAAGGCTGTTAAGCTTAGGGGTTAAGCTTAGGGGTAGGCGACAATTGACCCCCCGACAATTGACCCCCGACAATTGACCTCCGACAATTGACCCCCGGAAATATAATTTAATACAATTAATCCTGACCCTGACCCTGACCCTGACCCTGACCCTGACCCTGACCCTGACCCTGACCCTGACCCTGACCCTGACCCTGACCCTGACCCTGACCCTGACCCTGACCCTGACCCTGACCCTGACCCTGACCCTGACCCTGACCCTGACCCTGACCCTGACCCTGACCCTGACCCTGACCCTGACCCTGACCCTGACCCTGACCCTGACCCTGACCCTGACCCTGACCCTGACCCTGACCCTGACCCTGACCCTGACCCTGACCCTGACCCTGACCCTGACCCTGACCCTGACCCTGACCCTGACCCTGACCCTGACCCTGACCCTGACCCAGGACCCTAACCCTAACCCTAACCCTAACCCTAACCCTAACGCTAACGCTAACCCTAACCCTAACCCTAACCCTAACCCTAACCCTAACCCTAACCCTAACCCTGACCCTGACCCAGGACCCTGACCCTAACCCGATCAATTGACTCCAGTGTAATTACATGGGGGGTCAATTGTCGTACTAAGCCCTAGATTTTGCGACATTTGACGCCAGTGTAATTACATAGGGGGTCAATTGTCGGGGGGTCAATTGTTAGGGGGTCAATTGTCGCGGTACAAAGCTCAGGACGGTGATCTTGATAGGTCGGATAGCTGTACCTGATTGGTTCCAGCCCACCGTGTCGCTTGGAATTAAGTTCTCACCCCACCTCTTCCAAAAATGCGGTTACCAGAGCAGGAAACTCTTCTTCCTCCTCTTCTTTCAACCCAAACACAATCAGGTTCCTGCTCCTCTCCTCCTCTGCAGCCAGAAATCTTATCTCCTTCTTCGGCGTTTTACTGTTGCAGACTGTATGACTTGCACTGTTCTTTTGCAGTACTCCTGCACTGTTACACTGTAGCTCTGTGTCCCTGACTCCACCGTGGTTTGCACTGCCCCTAAACTGCAATCTTAAGTAACTTTAGTTCCGGCACTCTTTGGCCATTAAAATAACCAACTCCAATGAAACCCCGTGTAGCTACGTTCTGCTACCTCCATGCTAGCACCACCCAGCTACCACCAGTTTATTCTAAGTCTAGCTATTTCTAGCAACCTCTCAATGCTATGTCCAGCTCTATCCCGACCCTGGCAATGACATATGGGGGTTATTCGAGGTATCTTGCATAGCAAACGAAGCGGCATGTGCATTCACAACACAAAAAAGCCACAGTGGATGATGGAAGGTATATTTACACTTCCTATACCCCCCTATAATTATACCAGGCCTCTTGCGAGAGTGACAAAAGGTGCACAGTTAAAAGAAGCCCCTGTGAGAAATCGCATTTCTTGCACAACTGGGTCTAATTATTATAGAGGCAAAGAAGAGGTCCGGTACATTCAGATACCCGGTGTAGATTGGCAAGATTGACGGTACAGAGAGGTTTTGATCATTGAAATCAATAAAATGATAGTATACAGCAGGTAAAATCGGTTCGATCTTAAACGGTCCTTTTGTGCTGTTTCTTTATGTGGAATTTGATAAAGCTGTATTGTAATTAGTTATGAAACTCTAATATTGTGTGGTTAACGTTTTTCAGGTTCAGCCCTTTCCGCTAAGCTATTCCTAATTACTAAAATATGCCGAGATTTACTGAACTCCAACTTCAAATATTGATGATTTTAGTATTCCCCAATCTAAAAAGGTTCGAAGTTTTTCTGCAAAGCATTTTTATCCACGTTTCATGCAATTCGATCACTTTTGGCGGAAAATTTTTTTTTCAAATTTTCGAAATTTTTCCAAGTCTCGAAAAAAATTTGTAAGTGAAAAAGTTTTGAAGTTTTTCTAAAAACTACATTTCTCCGTGTTTCAAACGATTTTAATCATTTTGAGCCAATAAAAATTTTTCACTTTTTTTGGTAATTAACTAATTGGTAATTATCCAATTAGCTGATTGTCCAATGTAAAAATTTTTCTTATAAAAATTTTACTCCTTGATAAGATAAACATTCTAGGTTAATTTCCAGCCTTCTACGACGTTCACAACTAAAGATATTCGGCAAACCAGAAAGGTGGTACAAAGGTGGTAAAAAGTGGTAAAAAGTGGTGTTTCTGTCGAGATACAAAATTGGTGACAAGTCTAATTATGTTCGTAGGGGTTTTAACTACCATATTCCGTTGCTAAATCCTTGTGAACATTTAAATCCAACGGAATGCCACTTTTCCCCTTACTAAATTGTAAGCTGCTCCAAATAAAAGCCTTGTCTCCAAAATCTCATTTGGAATCCAGACTAGCGTTTCGGTGTGTGCAAAAGCTTTCAGGCCCGCACATTCCTTGCCCCGTTAGTTGCCTGTCTTTCCACAGCCCAATTAGCAGTCAAGGACAGAAATTCATACACCAAATGAGCATTATATTGTCATTATTATAAATTTGTTGATTACGTAAAATATAATAAAATTTCTTGTTTCATATAAAATGTCTTGTTTCATTGACTCACTAAGATATG